AGGTCACAAACATTGTAATACAACGCAATAAAAATACTGTACCCATCAGACTGCATAATCGTCGTAGAAGGATAGATCTAGAAAGAAACAGAAAGAGTTGCCTTCAATACTTGATATACAACCCTCAAGTAAGGTAAACTAAGGAAATTCATGGGAGGAATATATCCTCTCCCTCTTATACCAAGATGTCCCACAAACTGCTGTGGGGAAGTGTTCAAGTGAGGGAACACTTCTCTAGAGATGCTTTTCAAGGGATGCAGGTGACTGAGGGTGATGGAAACAAAAACTTTTTTTCCATGAACATTCTTGGTGTGATAGCTTTTTGAACTCGTGGTTTTTTTTTATTTTGCTTTGTTTGCATGACATGCTGATGACTGTATTGGAAGAATAGGAATTATGTTTAATTGCACAACATAACTTTAATGAGATCAATCTAATTTCACACACAAATAAGCTTGTCATGACTTTCAGAAGAAGCATCATGATTAAGTGTATGGCATTCTAAATTATTGCTGGATTAGAAACAAGCAATCAGTTTGAGTACTCAGGGCTGGAAAAAAGCCCGTTTTGTTTTTTTGTTTTTTGTTAAATCAAAAAACCTGTATGTGTGTGTTTTGTTTTAACCAGCTTTTAAAATATTAATCTTTTAATGAAAAAATTAAATCATGCTTATTAATACTGTGAAACATTATTTTATCTATTGGAAAGCTTGATCAACCATGCTTTAATGCTTTCTAACATCAACAATCCAAAGTTATTAGGCTTTGATATGATTTACATCTTACATAAAATTTTGGAAATTATATTGACAAGTTAGTAGACTATATATAGGAGTATAGACTACACCAATATAGGACTAAATCTATAAGACTACTTTTAAACCCAGGGGAATCTTCTCCAAAGTCAGGGATCGTCTTATACGCCAGGTGGAAGAGGAGGAGGAGGAGGAGGAAGAGGTGGCGCAGCGTGAGGCGGGAGGAGGTGGAAGAGAGAAAGTCCAGGTTAGAGAAGGAGGAGGAGGGGGGAGGAGGAAGGGGTGGCGTGAGGCAGGAGGAGGAAGCAGCAGCGGATAAGAGGTGAACCCCTATCCTGGGGTTTTCTTGGCAAAACTGGTTCAGAGGAGGTTTGCCATTGCCTTCCCCTGAGGCTGAGAGTGTGTGATTTGTCCAAGTTCACCCAGTGTTCCATATACTTGTGGCTATGGCATGCCATCTTCTTTTTCACAGCCCGAAATACACTGGGGTAGTACAATGTATTGCACCTTGCCATGCATGCCTGCCACAGTTTTTCACATGTCAACTCATTCTCAACTGTTTTCTGGTAGTAACTGAACATGGGGCAAACTGCTACACACTTAGGCCTCACCAAGTTGAGAAGCTGCCATGGGTTCAATTTCAGCCTCCCATGGTACTTCTTTGTATCCAGTGGACTTTAGTATTCTAATCAAGTTCTCCTTGATTCTGCTCCGGAACAGAGATAGATAACAGATACGCTGACATCCTAAAATAAGATAACCTATTATTTCCAATTCAAGACACAGGAACTATACCTATGTTTATGAAGTAGGAGAACGAGCAACCAGATGTAGCAGAGAATCACTCCACATACTTCAGTCATGGCAAAAGCCCATGGTATCCTAGGAACACTAAAAATAGAAATGAAAAACAACATGTCATGAGCATCTTAAAAGTCAAAGTCCTTGACCTGCATTTTCAGGAAAAGGAAATGAAGTTCATATGTAATTAATAACTTTAAAAATCTAAACCCTTTCATTTATAAGAAAAACATTCATGTGTACAACCAATTACACAATTTACACATCATATTATCAGTAATGGCAAATACATTCATTTGAACTCAGTCTTGGTACTTAAACACAGCATATCAAAGAGTAACTGAATTTATCAGAAGGAGCAAAGTTCTGTGAATGTTAACAGCTCACATTTATTTTAAATTTGAATTTTGCTTAGCTAATCTAAAATGGGGGGGGGGGTGTAATTCAGCAAGACACCATACAAGACCATCTGTCTAACATACTACAGCTGCAATATATAACCTAATGGACTGAACTGGCTCTGCCACAAATAAACACATTTTTGAAGCCAACTGAAAGACAAAACAGTAGCTTGATCTAGTAACTGAATACATTTGAAAACATCAGTCGTTCAAGTAATGCACCTGTTGAGACACAGTGTTATAAGGCCATGGTAAAAAATTGGCTAAACATCAAAATATGTCCCCCTTTACCACTTTTCTAGTGGAAATATCAGAATTATCAAATATTATTTTTTATTAAAAATCACAGTATTTCCTCTTTCAGATTTATGGGTGAAATGCTTTCTAGGCAACATCTTAAAATACAGTCTGCCCTTCATATCGGTGGACATGCCATCCGTGAACTTAACCATCCATGGATGGCAAGCCCCCATTTTTCTTAATCGTGGCATGTGCATGCGGCAGCACTAGCCATTAAGAAAAATGGAACTTGAGCATGCACAGATTTTGGTATCCATTGTGGGGGAGTGGTCCGGAATGGATCCCTCGCGGATACAGAGGTCTGACTGCATTGCTTTAGGTTTTCTTTACTCTCTCAAAAGGCTTTCTAAGTAACAGATAAATTACAGTAATAACTCCTACATGGTATGTTTAGCCTAGAGAAGAGAAGGTTCAGAGGTAACATGATAGCCACATTTAAATATTTGAAGGTCATATATATATATATATATATATATATATATATGGAGAGAGAGAGAGAGAGAGAGAGGATACAGCAAACTTGTTTTCTGCTGCTCCAGGGCCTAGGAGACAAAGCAATGGATTCAAGCTGCAGGGAAAGAAATTCCACCTAAACATTATGAAGAACTTTCTGACAGTAAGAGCTGTGCAACAGTGAAACACGTTGCCTCAGACCAGGGGTAGGCAACCTTTCCCCTTTAAGGGCCAAGGGACTTTAGCTCCAAGAATCCCAGGAGCTATTGGCCAACATGGGACTATTGGCCAACATGGCTGAGGCTTCTGGGAGCTGAAGTCCCTCGGCCCTTAAAGGGGAAAGGTTGCCAACCCCTGCCTCAGACAATGGTGGGGTCTCTCTTTCTTCAGAGGTTTTTAAACAGAGGCTGGATGGCCATCTGTCAGGTGTGGTTTGACTGTGAATGGCAAGGGATTGGACTGGATGACCCTTATGGTATCTTCTGACTATGATTCAATATACAACTTCCATATCTTCTGCTACAGTTGAAAGAAATGGGTATATATTTGGAAATAGAGAAAAATTCAAGTTGCAAGCTAACATATAAAAAAGGTCAAAATTCAATCCATGTAGAACTTCAATTTTCAGGATGCATGAAGATTAAGAGTGAGTTCAGAATCAAATACTATTAATCCTTCATAAACTGATTCTATACCGTTGAAGCATTTATAAGCCTTTTTGAAATCTGTCTGAGCATCAAAACCAGAATGATGACATGAAAGCAGTCTTGCTGTCCCATTCATTCTGTTTTTAATATGCTATAGGACACACTGGCCAGGATCTTATATTGAGTCAAACCTCTTGCATATTAGACCACTTCATATATGGTTTGTCATTCCCATGCAAGGAGATAATGAAGACCTCCTTACACAATCAGTAGCCACAGCAAATGATGGCACCACATCCAGAGCTACATTCCAAAGGAGATCACATTATACTTCTACTGGCAAAGGCTATCTCTCTTCCTGTTTTTTTAATGCCTCACTCTGACCAGTTATAATCAAACACTATTTGGAGGGAGGGGGAGAAATCCCTTGTTAAAAAGAAATAAGCAATCTCCTAAGCCACTTGTGCCTTGTTTCTAAGGACTGATCTTCCCATACTGTACCTCTGTCTGATATCCCTGCAGGAGTTTTGCTACTTATGCATGTTTAAATAGAGAAAGTAAAGTCAGCTGAGAAATTGGTTATAGAAAGAAGGTTCTAGACTCAAAATCCTATGCCCATGATTTATAGATTACTGAGCTAGACCTGTCCCAAAAACTGTTATGCTCTTAATGATATATCATCCAGATTTAGTTCTCAAGAAATTGCCACTCTCATATAATGAATCCTCACTATACCTACAAAAAAAGCCAAGTCTGCAAGTAATATATAACATTTCCAATTTCCATTCTGTACCTAAAGCACCATAAATCTTACAAATACTTTGGGAGAGAAGAAATAAATGCCAAATATTTTTCAATTCAATGCTTTTATTTAAAGCAAGTTATGAAAATCAAGTCTTCATACATTTCTGAGGTGTACATAAATCTATCCTGACACAAGTGTCTGGAGAGGACATCAGCTAACAGTACTGATAACATGACTGCAGAAACTAAGAGAAATCTGCTATGTTCTTCCAGAACTACAGTTCTAAATCTCTGAGGTTAAGATGAGTCTGCATCCCTTTACAAATGTAAGAAACTAAATATGGGGCTATGCATTTCACTTAATTATTAATTTTGATGGAAGGCTATTTGTGCTCATACATTTCAAGAAGTACAAACACAGCCAACCCTTATGGTGCTATGATGTCCTGGGAGACAACAAACATGACAATAAAGAGGGAATCAATCCAAAGAAATTTAGTATTTAAAATGTTTTTTAAAAAATTATCTGTCCCATCACTGCAGCTGGGTCTTGACAGCATTTCTGAACAGGACAAATGTGCACCTGATTATTCCCAAGAAACAAGTATTTAGAAAAAGCAGGCACAGCTAGCTACATGTGTAAAATATGTAGCACTACAAATAATCTAAATCAGTAATTTAAGCTCTGTAGAGAAAATCCATGAGGGAGTCTGTGACTCCTGGGAGAATCTCTAAACAGAACCCAGACAATATTGTATCTTGTACCCTATAGCCAGATAACATTTTTTCCATTTCATAAACACTGTCAGGAGACAACCCTAAACATATGGAAAAGTTCATAGTTATCCCCACCATATAATTTTTTTTTTCATTAAACACAAGGTAGAGTAGCTAGCGAGAGTCAGTATGGCGCAGTGGCTTTGAGTGTTGGACTGTGATTCTGGAGATCCGGGTTCAAATCCCTGCTTGGGCATGGAAACCCACTGGGTGATCTTGGGCATCTCTCTCTCAGAGGAAGGCAGAGACAAAAACTTCTCTGAATGAATGTTGCCAAGGTAATCCCATGACAGGTTCACCTTAGGGTTGCCGTAAGTTGGAAACAACTCGAAGGCACACAACAACCGGAATAGCTAGTATGTCTCTAAAACATTTACACCAAAAGAACAAACATTCCAAATATGACTGAATCCTGTAATGTATTTAAGATCTAACAATGCTAAGCTACTGATGACCTAATCTGCGATAATGGCTCCTCTATCTGTTTAGTCATTGCATTTTCTTATCCCATCTGTTATAAGCCAATTGTAATCATGGAAAAGCTTAGGTCTTTTTCTTGACCTACAACTTCTTATGAATATTTTAGCCTTGTTTCTCAAGTGCTTTGCAATCAGCACCAGTAACAGATCCTTCTGGGAGAGAGCACATGTGTACTGTTTCACCACCACAAATATACAATTGCTTGAGAATTCTGCTAGCGTTTGTTCTGCAGTCACATGCCTCCGTGTTGCAAAAGGATAATAAAGGCAGAAGCCACTCATGATTGTAATCTTTTGGTCTTGTTTTGCTGCCTTGTCTTTTAGCACCCACTCCTCCAAATCCATCCCAGCACTCTGATACCAGCAGTTCTATCTAACATTTAGTAGACAATTTTTATCTTTAAAATATTGACAAACTTAATTTTTTTCCAAAAAGCAAAAACAAAACGGTCTAAATTCAGTGTCAAATTTTGGAGACATTACATCATGCGAATCAAAACAAAGGATGCCCTTTAGCTACTACAGAAATGATAAACTGGCCTCAGTCCTCGCCTAGAAGACCAAAAGCTGTTGCTGGGTGACTGCATCCCTTCCTTCCAACAAGAATGCGCATAAGAATTGCTTACGGCTCATGTGATCTCTACTGCAGGACAATAGGCTTTTTTTAGCTGTGTTCAAAATATTGTTTTGAAATAGCCTATTTAGGATGTAGACATTAAGATATGGTGAGCTATCCAAAGTGGTAAGGATGAGTAGGATATTAATAATCAAAACAGCAGGTAGCTTTCTTGTGTTACCATATCAATGTTGAATTGCACTGGCTGCCAAGTTAATACATGCAGTTTATACAATGTCCTGCAGTTCAGGACCAGCTCACCTTAGCAGCCATCTTCTCCCATATATACTGCATGATCTTTTGTATTCAGGAGCAAAAGGAGAGGCTTTGTTTCCTGTGCTACAGCCAAATTAGGTCTGTATGGCTGCACTGTAGTGCTCACTGAACAAGGCCTTTACAGACTGCTGGAAATAATGCAAACTGAGTCCACTTTAACTGCCCTAGCTCAATGCTAGGGAATCATGGGAATTGTATTTTTTTTCTGAGACATTGAGCCTTCCCTGTCAGAGAGCTCTGTTGCCACAATAAATTACAGTTCCCATGATTCCCTAGCAATGAGTCAGGGCAGTTAAAGTGGACTCAATTTGCACTATTTCTGGCAGACTGCAAAGGCCCAAAGATAGTAGGCAATTCCCAGGGTTGGATTTTTTTTTTATTTTTTGCCATCAATTAAAGGCTTATCTGCTTGTCACACATTTTCACATCACATCAGATAAATAATATTACTATTTACTCCTGAGTATTTCATTAATTGTTTTAATGGATTTTATTATTTTTATTCTTATTGCTTTTAACTATTTGTTTTATTGTATTGTTTTATTGGAAAATGCTGATTTTTTTAAAAATGAAAAGCAGTTTAAAATGCTACACGTATTTATTTCTACTAGAACAGGAGAAGAAAATATGCAGACCTCTTGGCCCTTTTATCAGATTCTGTGGTACAATGTTCTCACAGTAGCAAAAGCCTCAGCACTGTACCATTAAAGCTATATGTGCATTCCCCTCACACATTTTTAGAGTTACTTGTGGCACAGCAACACCAGAAGTAGGGCATGGCTCTCATTCAGCTCAGGGAGGAGCCAGTGTGACCTTCCACACCCAGAAGCCATCCTATACTAGAATAAAATTGGTAAAATTAGAATTATGCTCTCTGTGTCTAATGGCAAAGCACTATTGATAGAAAAAAAAAATTGTATGGATGGGGGGTGGCTGGCTGGTGAATGACTCAACCTCCATCAGGAACTTAGCCACAGTCACAAAAGAAAATCCATTACAGGCATCTGGAACTTCCTGCAAAGCTTCTTTATTTAAAACAGCAAAAAAGACCAAAAAAGCAATAATAGTAAAAATGACTTAGCCTTAGAAGGCTAACTGGAACAGGTTAACCAACTACATAGTTGAAAAGTTAGATGCAACTACCAGAGATCTTTACATCTCAGAAAACAGACAAAGAAGAGCAGATTCTAAAAATGGCTGCGAGATCCACATGTTTCAGCCCACCTTGCTCCACCTTCGTGGGCGTAGTCTCTTCAGACTGATTGGTCAAACATGTATGATGTGTCTCTAGTCCAACCCTTAAATTACCATAATAGAACATGTGACTACAATTGCCAAAACAATGAATGTTGATTTTTTCTTAACATAAACATTAGCTCATTCTCATGAAGCTTAACCTTGCTGGCTTCACTTGTTTGGACTAGATTCACACCTGGTACTGATAACATGTGGCTCTGGCCTTATAGAAAAGAACATCTTTTACACAACATATAAAAATACAGACACACATCATTACATTTCAACATTTTAAAATCATTGACTCTATATCCCATTAAAATCCTAACAACTATTTATTAAGATGCAACATCAAATCTGTTCAAACTACCAATGGCTGGGATTGGCAGCAAAATGCTTTAAATAGCAAACTGGCAACAGTAAGCTATTGTGCACCTGGGAGATGTAATATCAAAACCATTGCACAAGAAAAATTAGAGAAAATTCTCCAGCAGACATGTTCTATCCCTCTAGAGAAGAAAGTTTACACCTGGCCTATGACATCAATTGCCAAGAACTAGAAGAAACTGAAATGATCAATTGCATATATTGCTAGTGCTGTACCTTTTAATGGGTACATTTTTAAAGTACTGTACTTGTGTTGCTGCCAGTGCCATACTGCTGTATGGTGTGCTCACACACTAATGTTGTCTAAGACTACTTAAGTGTGTTTTGGGGAGCCAACTGTTAACAGTTAAAAAAATGTTAAAAGTAACTTTTTGCTTTCTCATTTTTCCAGAGTGAATAAAATAGTTATTTAGTTACATTGTTTAGAAATGCATGCCACAAGTCACTGGTCCACAATACAAAACACACTTAATTAGTCTTAGACAACATTAGTGCATGAGCACATCACATAACAATATGGCACTGGTACCAACACAAGGCAAGCATTTCCCAACAGAAGCTAGTTTTAGCCAGAGCTGCTTGTCACTTCAATACTAGGCTTCAATGAGATTCATTTTCCAAGTGACCTCATCTTGCAGTCCAGTGACTCTGGGGAATTCTTCAAAACATGGCTATAAAACCTCGATATACTAATCTAAACTGATCTTTGTTAGAAAATGCATGATGAGTAACCACTACATGAGCTCTCTTTCTCTATACCTCAACTACATGTCATCACTTCTGCTATCTTGGACACATCTCTGCATGAGGGATGAACATGTCCGATCCCTTGTGCAATCAGGAGTTTCATCAGCATAGTGTCCTTATAGCCAAATTTATTATTATCCAAAATTATCCACAGGAAAAAATAGAGAGTGGTATGATACTATGCCCAGATCTACCTCCCTTCAGTGTTACACAAGAACAATGTACATTTTTTTATATAAAGAAAACTTAAATATCAGACTTAAAATGCTGCTGTTTTGGCTCCAGAAAACCAGTTGCTCATAGAGCTCATCGATGAGTGTATTTTACAGGACTGGACAAAAATCCTAGCAGGGATTTTTTTCCCTCTTGGGCAACACTGTACATTTTACTCAAAAATACATGGTTGCACAAGAAAAGCAAAATCAAGGTCTTCCTCAAATCCTCTTTGAATGTGAACTGTTGTCATGTACTGGCAGAATACCAGTTCAGAAATCCAGGCTTCAGTAGTTAGAACTCAGAAAATCTTTACTAAGAAACTCTAGATCCAATCCAGAGTCTTGCGTTCTCAGAACTGAATAGCAAGCATTAACATTGCCTAATTAAATTGTGCATGATTTCAAATTCATTGTGGACTCAATTCTTATTGGTTATGTTTTATAAACACATTTAATCCCTCTCATTCCCAAAGTTGTTTCGTAGTTGTTACTAGATTCTCCCACAGGAACAACCCTGACTCCAGCTTGCCTCCCTTCTGTTATTATCTCAGCATCTATAGGTGAGATCACCATGTCTGAGCAATGCTATTTTCTACTGTAAAACCCGTTATACCAACATTGTAGTTTATTGTGGCACCAGAGCTCTATGACAGAGAAGGCTCAATGTCTCAGGGAAAAAAAAAACAATTCCCATGACTCCCTAGCACTAACTCTAACCCTTAAAGTGGACTCAATTTGCACTATTTCAGGCAGTCTGCAAAGGCCCTGAGACATGATGATTAAACAGAATTGTCCTCACAAATGATACAAATAGTTGAAACTGAATCACTCAGAATGTGATTAGGTCATTTAAATCAAAACAGCCCTGGAACAAATAGTGAAAAGCAGGATACTAGAATAATCAAGTTTTTATATATCCACTCAGAAGTAAAAAGAGCTCGATTATTCAAGAATAAGGATGGGCAGCCAATACTAAGAACATCCAAAACTCATTTTATGCACACATTGCCAATTATTTTATTTATTTATTTATTTCATTTTTATGCCACCTTTCTCCCAGAAAGGGACCCAAGGCAGCTCACAAGGTGATAGTAACAATCCAAACAGCAACACAAAAAACACTCCTTTGGAGGCACATTTTTCCTGTTCAAGATGCACATTTATAGGAAGAAAATGAATCAAATTATTAAAATGGGTGCAAAATTGGAGGACAACAACGAAGTACATTCTCCTGTTTCAG